GTTCCGCGTGTCCACCCAGCTCCTCTGTCACCAGAGAATACACACTAAAGAGAAGCCCTTCACCTGCCTGCTGTGCAGCAAAAGCTTCTCTAGCAAATCCAACCTGAGGAGCCATCAGAAGATGCACCAGAATGTCCCACACGGCGAGGCTGATGCATTCAAAGACCTGGATTTAGGGTCTCCCCTATGAAAGAGTGTACATAGAGGAGATATTTATCCTACTAACAATAACGTAAAGCAGTGTCCCTTGATCTATTTCAAAGGTCCAGATTTTTGTAAAGGGGTGGTTCAATATTTTTGGATTAAGCTCCCGTTGTAAAATTTTAAGCAGCTAGTCTTTCTTATTTTCATTCATTATAAATCCAGATTAATAAATCCTGGAGGCTAAAGCTGACAGCTAGCCAGAGTTGGTCCAAGACGTAAAAACCATTTGGTTGTTTTTGTGGCTTCAATGAAAGCTGTCCCACCCTCAGATGTTCCCAGATTATTTTCACAGGAAATAAGAGTAGGAAGCTACGCACCACTAATTATCTTCCTGTGTGAAACACGTGCTGAGAACAGAACCTGTGAGGCATCTCCAGTCCAAGGGTATCTGCTATAAACTATAGTTTATAGTGTTTTTCATTCATTTTTAACTCTTCTTTTTTACATAGTGGTAGAAAATGGTGATTGGTGTGAATAAGCTGCTAGTTGGCATTCGTCTGAATGGCCTCAAACACATCTGGCTGGGATCCCTTCAGCTGAAACTTTCTTGAACCCATTACCCTAAAGTCCTTTACATAATAAACAGGACAAAAGTGTAATTAGCAAAAGTTTATAAGTTAAAATTTAAGCAGCCGGTTTTAAAATATTCCTTTTTATGATCAATGGGTCAGAACAGTCAAATCTTTGTCTTATTCCTTAACCATATATTTGTTGCAGTATCTTTTCTAAAATTGGATAACAGTTGTGCATTACATTAGCTTCAGCCTCCAGCATCAGCTTATCTGTCGATGCCAAACAAACGAAAAGTAAGTTCATTTTAATTTGCAGGTCTTACCTCTGTAGAGATGTGATGATGTGTCGATTTCTCATCTAAAACACTTTGAATGTTTTCTATTTAATCTGCTGCACCATGCTGACATCAGAATGTCTGACTCTAACATTAAGCTTTTAAAAACTGTATAATTAACTCTTGTGCCTCTAGGATCAGAAGGAAAGTAAAACCTCTAAAAAAAACTACATTTAGAGCCAGCCTAACTCAAATACCTCCTGGGCTTGTATGTTAAACAGAAGTCCTGAACTACTATCTGTACTTATAGTAAGAACTAAATAGTCATGTGTTCTGTGAGTTGGATTTACCTGAGAGCTTTTGCATTGCTATGTATATTTTACATAACCTTTAAATCATCAGTGAATCTGCTTCTGTTTAGGTTTCAGTTGCATGAGTCTGGTTGGTTTTATCCAGAATGAACCATCAAAGGGAGCAAACCTGGTGTGTAGAGCTGGCTGCTGGTAAAGACGTATAAAAAGCCTTAAAAGGCAGCTGGCATTGCAGCTTTATGATCTCTTAGAGGGAAAATCCAGTATTAAATATATTACATGTATTTACTCAGCAGAGGCTGATGGTGGAGCAGACCGCGGCTTTGCAGCAAGAAGGTCTTTATTTGCTTATTTCTTCTATGTTCTCCCTCCGGTACTTCGGATTCCCCTCAAAGTTCATGGGTGTTGGACAAATGGGTCTCACTGAATATTTAGTGCCCCTTTGCAAGTAGAACCAATCTCCATATATGCTGTATAAGCTGCTGTCCCTTTCCTGTGCTCTTTATTCTTCTGCTCAAATAGATACAGAGCCCCTAAAGGGACATGGAGGGGAAAAAAAGTATCCAGTATCCAGATCTCGCAAAAAATAAACTTTTGCGAGATCTTGCAATACTTTTGCGAGATCCCGCAACACTTTTGCGAGATCCCGCAATACTTTTGCAAGATCCTGCAATACTTTTGCAAGATCCTGCAATACTTTTGCAAGATCCTGCAACACTTTTGCAAGATCCCGCAATAGTTTTGCGAGATCTCACAATACTTTTGCAAGATCCCGCAATACTTTTGCAAGATCTCGCAATACTTTTGCAAGATCCCGCAATACTTTTGCGAGATCCCGCAATACTTTTGCAAGATCCCGCAACACTTTTGCAAGATCCCGCAATAGTTTTGCGAGATCTCACAATACTTTTGCAAGATCCCGCAATACTTTTGCGAGATCTCGCAATACTTTTGCAAGATCCCGCAATACTTTTGCGAGATCCCGCAATACTTTTGCAAGATCCCGCAATAGTTTTACAAGATCCCGCAATACTTTTGCAAGATCCCGCAACACTTTTGCGAGATCCTGCAATAGTTTTGCGAGATCTTGCAAAAGTATTGCGGGATCTCGCGAAAGTTAATTTTTTTGCGAGATCTCACAAACGTTTTGCAGGATCTCGCAAAACTTTATTTTTTCCCTCCATGTCCCTTTAGGGGCTCCGTAAATAGAAGATACTTCAGTTATAAAGAAACTGTCAGGGGTAGAGATAATTGTGCTCTCATTATAGAAACTCATAAAACTGTTTCCAGGAGTTTAAATAAGTAATTTAATCTCTATAGGTACAGGATCAGTGTATTTCTCACTTTGCCATTTCAGTAGTTTTATGAATACAGTTTTGCTTGAAATTTTACAAACCCTTTCATTAAAAACATTTTTTTTAATCAGCTGCCAGCAACAATGCAATCACTAAAATCCAGTGTTTTCTGTAATGTTCAGGAAATGTTCAGTCAGACTTCTCACCTGTTGACAGGTATGTCGGTTCAGTGTTCACGAGGAAGGTACTTTAATTTGTCTGGGACAAATTTGTTTACTGTATATAATTATTTTAAATAGAAAAAGTGAAATACAATGTTTTATTTATAAATGATCATTTTGCCCATTCTGCATGATGTTTTCCCAAGTAATAGCTTTAAAGAAAACCAGATGTTTTATTTTAAATGCAATATAAACGTGTCACTGTCAGCTTTTCTCTTATTTTTTTCTGGTTTTAAATATTTGACTAGTTTCTTAAACTCAAGCACAAATTGAGAGTTTTCTTTTCTTAAACTCCTTATTTATAGCGCATTTTATTTAAGACTATTTATCTCTGGCCTCAAGTATGAAATACCTCAGAAACTCAGCATTCCTAATGACTAAGAGTATGCAGTTATGAACAAACCCTTGGATTCACAGAAAGAATTAAACATTTACATTTAAGCTGCTTCCTCCATGATGTGACTTCCTGTCTGTTGTTTATATGTCCTGAGGACAGGATGTTCATTATGATTCAGCCTGTTGTTTAGGAGAGATGGGTTGGCTGCTCACTAACTCACCACAGCAGGCTTTTGTTTGCCGTGGTCCATTTACTTTGCTGCACATCTCATTATTCTGCTGCTCTTTGTTGTTTTTGTTTGTTTTCTTGTAATTTTTTTTTCCATATTAGTTGTAATCTAAGTAACTGCACCCCATTATGGAGAACCACCACAGCATGGTATCTGTGGCGCGGGCTTAATCCTGAACTGTAAATTGTAAATCCCATTAAAAGTGTTGTTTGGACCTCATCTGCAGCTGTTTCCGTCAGTGGCAGAAAATCGTGTAAAATGGATTCATATGTAATAAAAACACCATATGTTAATGCTTTTCATTTGTCTTTTATGGTCAACTATTCAGACCTAATTTAAACTTATTTTTCTATTTTTTTTTTCTTTAAATAGGATTTAGATTGCTAGAATGTGATTTATATTGAAAATTATTTCTGTCATATAATACACCTTTTAGTTATATATCACACAAGGATATGATTTTAACGTTTATTTTTATTTTTCCTCTTAAATGTTTTTCAAAAAATTTGGAAATAAAATCTGACCAGCAAAATATTTCTCTCATCTTCCTCTTGCCAATAGACTTCGTGGGCTTGTCAGGCCGCTTTCCTGGTGTTACCATGGGGACAGAAATGGCTATTTGCACTTATTTTGGCAGCATGGGCCTCCTGCCGGATCAAATCAGCATCTCTATATAGCTTCTTAACTTATGGTAACATGAAGTGCCCCAAAATGTCCTGGTGGACAGGAACACCGACAGCAATAAAATTACCGTACCTAATAAATGATGGGAAAACTTTTCCGTGAACGTCAGGGAGACGCACATGCATGTTGAACCCCTGCACAACAGATCAGTCCTTCATTCTGTTAAGGTTCTTATATCATCTTTTAAAAAATGGATGGATCAGGAGTGACTTGACACGAGCAACCTGGCAGTTGAAGTTTATTCTAGAATCTAACTTAGGATTATTTTTATTGATGATATGTGAGTCTGTTAAACCCTAATAATACCTGCCTGTTGTGTGTCAGAACTAACTATTTCCCCTGTATTTTATCCATTTAGGACAGTTCCTCTGTCAGGATAAAAAAGTTATCCGCATTATGCACGTAGCAAAGGGGAAATGAAAGAGAGCGGTATCCTGGATCAAAGAACATAGTGTAATATTTTGGTAGGGCTTGACCCATGATGTCTCCTCATTTACAAATGTGTATGATGTGGGATGCTGGAGTTTTATCAAATGCTTCTTTAACTGTGATTCTGGAATATAGTACTTCAAAGAGAATCGAACCCGGTTGGTGAGCTCTTCCTTCTCTACCCCTAAGCAAATTCTCTGGTCTGAATAAGTTTCTGTCAAAATCTGTTGTCATGTCCAATGCTTATGTAATACACATACATTAGGAAGTGTTATTCTAAAGAGTTTTTCCCGATGATCTCTTCTCAGGAAAAAGCTTAACGATGTAAACATAGAGCGATCCAATAAATAATGTTTCCGCCCGGTTTCGAACCGGGGACCTTTCGCGCGGGGAGCGAAAATAGTTAAGCTTAACTCTCTTAACTTTTCCCATTCATTCTCTATGGTAGTTCTTAACACTACGGATGCAATATATTTCTGACCACTATACCCCCATGGCGCTGTTCACACGTATGAGCGTAGCTTTCTATGCGGAAGTGACGCAGTTTCTTGCTTACCCGCGTTGTTTGAAAAGATAACCGGCTTTAAAAAGACCAAGAGGAGAGCAAAGAAGATCGATTATTCAATTCATCTTTCACACATTCAAAAGGTAAGTTATATTGATTGCAACTTATAAAGCTCTGGGACATGTTGATCGTGTTTGATCACGTTTTTTTTTTCGGCCGAATTTTAATACATTGGAAAAACGCCGCATCTATGCTTGCTACGGTGGCGTTACTTACCGCTTTTCATTGTCTGCTGGTTCTTCTTCTTATGTAGCCAATAAAAGGTTATAGTTTAATGTATGTCCGAAGTGGCCGTATTTTACCCTAACACTGAACAAAGATCATGCTGGTGTTTTGTAGCAACGGTGCCTTAGAAACGGTAGTTATAGCAGTTTGTGCTCAATGTATTTCAGTGAAGATCTGATTACAATACAATAAATTAAAAAATATAGAAATTGTATCATCTGTCTATCAAAAACCTTTTTGAAGTATGTTGAAAAAGATAAGTGAGTTAATTTACTGTGTGATAACTTGGATCAATTAGAATGTATCTATTATGAAAAAAAATGAATATAATTAAGTGACTTAAGAGAATATTTGTTGTGAATGTTCCCTCTGTAAATACATTTAGTAATAGATAATTTATTTAAAAGATTTTTAGGTATTTTCTAAAATACATGATCCATCTCTATTTTTTTTTTTTCTCTCCACAAGGCCAAGATGCAGAAGAAGACTATCTTTTATCCCGGAAAACTAAGTGTTGTTTTCCGCAAGGGACCTCTTGGGTTTCTTCTGCAGGATCCCTCCCCTGAGGCCAAAAAGATAAAGAATGATCCCAGCCTGTGTGACAAATCAGATCCAAAAAGGGAGGATGCTGTGAGAGAAAACGCTTTGTCTGTGGTTCGTCAGCGAGGTGGGGATGTCACAGATGCTCTGGAAGTGCTGGGAGATTACAGCCTCCAATTTGGAAAGTACAAAGGGAAGTGCTTCCGCTGGCTTTTGGAAAATGATGTGGGTTACACAATCTATATCATCCGAAACCGACAAAAGGAGGAGGAAGCTGGGATCTGCCTGACCGAGAGCCTTCCCAAGGTGAACCTCCTAACCTTTGTGAAATATGCACTGAGTTTTAAAGAGATCCAAGATGTTCTGGATTATGAGACCAACAGAGGCACCAGCGCAACAACCTCTGAAGACGATCAGCTGGTTGGTTTTGGCTCTCGGGCCAAGAGCACTTGGAAGGAAATTTGGGACACAAGAGAAGATGGGTACACTGATTTCATTCTAAAGAAGAGCTGCCTTCCAGGGACTAGAATGAAAAAACTGCAGCAGTACTTGCTCCAGAAAACATTATCTTCTTGTCCTCCAAAAATAAAAACCAGTCTGCCGCATAAACCCCTGGGTAAGCAACTAATATAATATTAAAAGTTTTAAGATATAAGAATGAAAATTCCTTGAATATTGTATATACCTTCCAAATTAGTCCTTTAGTTATCTTTTTGTGTGGCATAATTTTTGTGTCTCTCATAGGGATGGAGGAGGATGATGAACTGGAAGCTGCAATGCTGAGCATCTCCCCCTCTAAGCTCCTGAGTCAGAGCCGTGATTACTTTGCAGTTACACTAGATCAAGTTCTAAAATTTATTTTGCTTCCAATTGTCACTCTTCTATATTTTGTTTTTGTGTATGCAGGGTCAGCAGAAAAAGAAGGAACCCCGGTGCCCAAACCATGTTCCAGAGCAAAGACAGGTTTTTTCTTAAATAAGGGGTTTCAGGGCTGGGGTGTTATTCTCTCTTATGATGAATAACCCTCCAAAACTGAGCCTTGACTCATTATGTTCTTTTGTTCTGGCCATGTTCCGGTCAAGTTCCTGTTACAATATCACTGTTTGCCACCGTTACTCTGCATGCCAAAGGACTATGAATTGACGGAGATGTTCCTGGTGTTGGTGAGTATACATTTTCATTCTGCATGTTTACTTTTTCTTTTTTTTCCTTGTTACTACTAACTGGCATGTTTGTTTACTTAAGTGATGTTATTCCTCCTGCTTAGAGCTGGCAGAGTTTCATTTTACACATCTGGAAATTACTTTTAAAACATTTTTAGAGGTCTAATAAGCAGAAGGAATAAAAGTACAAGTTTTTGAGTTTTGACTAACATAATCTGCTGTGTTCGGCTGTGATTTATATGGTGAATAATACATTTTCTTTAATTAGGTCCAACTGCAACGGTGTCCAGGACTTCTGCTGCATTGGATGGACCAGAATCCTCAACAGGTGATGGTAAAGAGATTAAAAATTCTGTTCTGAGAAAAATATGATGCTTTTAATGTTTTGTTATGCTAAACAAAATCCTTTATGTTCTTCTGACCATTTACAGCACTGCCAATCCCACAAAAGACGCCTGTAGCCCTTCCATCACAGCTCTCATTTCTACTGAAGGAAACAGAGAGTGCAAAAACATCTGAGTTTAAAGGTTTGTTTCAATCCGTCTTTAAGCATATGTCTGTTGAAAAAACGACAGTGTCTGGATAATCTTAACTACTTTATATATTATCTTATAGTTATACTGAAGTCATAAGTAACAACATCACTCCTTTTCAGATTCCAGCACAAGTGCAGCTTCCCCCTCTGCAAAGCGAGGCCTTTCCTTTGCTGACAGTGCTGAAGATGGTAAGACCAGACTGCATCAAAGAAGAAGAAGAATTTTCCTCCACAGAATTCTTTCAAAGGGAACTGCAGGAAACAAAGAAACGGGTTGAGGAAAAAACAGAAAAGAAGAGAAAAAGGACAGAATCCCAGCCAACAGGCCGACTTTGCAGATTTTGTCGCAAAGACCTGAAACAGGGGCCAAACAGTCCACATATTCACACTGGGTTCCCTGGAGTGCCAGGAAAATATATATATTGTCCATCAAAAATTCTGTCCATTTACCAGTCACATGGTATGGTGAGGGAAATGGGTTGGAAGGAGTTTTCAGAGTCTCCTTTCTATGAGGCAGAAAAACAGCGGTGGGTGGCTGAGAGGAAAAAGTAATGCACATGTTTCTGTAAAGTTTATATAGGTATTTTTGTTATTATTCTATAGGTTTCAATATATCTACAAAATAATCTGAGTATACTGTCAATATGGGAGGTTTACAAATGTAAATATTTCACAGGAAGCATGCCATAACATTTGCTCTAGGTTTTTTTTTTTTCCCCGACATGCTTTTCCTTTTGAACACTACATTCTAATATACACAATGTATATTGTATATAGCATAATGTTATTCACATATATATATATATATATATATATATTTATGTGTGTGTGTGTGAATTTGAACTGTTGTTCCCTTTTTTGAATAAAAAAAAAAAAAAGAACAAATTTGCTTGGTTTAATTGCATATCATTAAACAATTTACACAATGCTTAGATCTACCATAAAGATCTCTGTAGAAGACAAAAGATATTGAGGTAAAAGCAAATGTATCACGTTGCTTTCTGGTAAGGTTTTAAAATACTTACTGGTTTCAAGACACATCAAGAAAATCCTATTCTAATTAAATGTAAAATAAAGGATCATTATAGCTGCTTAGTTCAAGAATTTAGAGAAAACACTGATGCTACAACCTGTAATAGCTCCTGCAATTCATATTACTGAAATCTAAGCATTTTCGTCCTTTAAAATAATAATAAACACCTCATTAGTAGTAGCATGATTTCTTTAGAATATTATTGATTGGAACATAATCATAACAAACAGAAAAGGTTGGGTTAATCAATATAGGTTCATGCCAAGGCCGGGAGTCGAACCCACGTCACATTTTTTTCAGGCTGTCAGCGTTTTACACCTATACGCGGCTGGCCTTCGCGTGTGAGGCGAACGTGATAACCACTACTCTACGGAAACTGTAATGCAAACTATGAACGATGTCAGTACTCATACTTAACAAAACTGCCGAAAGTCGTTGTTTTTGTTGCTACTTTGCTGTCATTTCTTTTTTTTTTAACTCGATTCTTTCCATCCATCCATCTTTCAATCATGCTTATCCCAAGCAAGGTCGCGAGGGGTGCTAGTGCCTATCTCCAGCTGTCTACGGGCGAGAGCCGGGGTACACCCTGGACATGTCACCAGTCCATCGCAGGGGAACTATAGTTTTTCTTTTTATTTATTTAAAAAAATTATAAATAAATGTATACATGACATACTTGTATCAGCAGTTTTTGAGCCGTCAGTTTCTATACCATTGTAGCTTACCCACCGCCTGTGATTGGCATTAAAGTGATCCCCCATATAACATTTCTGCTTCTGAAACCACTGAAAAAATTAAAAAAGTTAACTGATTTTTAAATTTTATTTCTGTATAATATAAGAAAAAAGTCAGAATTCTGACTTTTTTTCTCAGATTTCTTAGAATTAGACAGATTTCGTTTGGAACAGCTCTCTGGACAATTTCATCTTTTTTTAAATAGTAAAACAAAATACAATATATATATATATATATATATATATAATATATATATATATAAATTTACAGTTCTAACATTTACTTTTTTTTTTAGCATTCTGACTTTCATCTCAGAATTCTGACTTTACTCTCAAAATTCTGACAAAAAAAAAAAATATATATATATATATATATATATATATATATATATATATATATATATATATATATATATATATATATATATAAACGGTAATATAAACATATGACTGTAAATTTACAGTTCTAACATTTACTTTTTTTTTTAGCATTCTGACTTTAATCTCAGAATCCTGACTTTAATCTCAGAATTCTGATTTTTCTGTCAGCATTCTGACTTTCATCTCAGAATTCTTATTTTTCTCTCAGCATTCTGACTTTAATCTCAGAATTCTGACTTTAATCTCAGAATTCTGACTTTAATCTCAGAATCCTGACTTTAATCTCAGAATTCTGATTTTTCTCTCAGCATTCTGACTTTCATCTCAGAATTCTTATTTTTCTCTCAGCATTCTGACTTTAATCTCAGAATTCTGACTTTAATCTCAGAATCCTGACTTTAATCGCAGAATTCAGATTTTTCTCTCAGCATTCTGACTTTCATCTCAGAATTCTTATTTTTCTCTCAGCATTCTGAGTTTAATCTCAGAATTCTGACTTTAATCTCAGAATCCTGACTTTAATCCCAGAATTCAGATTTTTCTCTCAGCATTCTGACTTTCATCTCAGAATTCTGACTTTACTCTCAAAATTCTGACTTTAATCTCAGAATTTTTAAAGTCAGAACTCTGAGATTAAAGTCAGAATTCATTTTTTTTTTTCTCATATTAAACTGAAATAATATTTAAAAATCAGTTGACTTTTTTTTTTTTCCTGTGGCCCTAATCCTCTTCGTAGTATCATGATGTAAAGAAAAAAAAATCTGAACTACAACAAGCATTCATAGAAGTTGTCAGTTTTATTGTGAAAATATATTTGCTACACAAAGATTTGAAGTAAGAAAAGCCAGTGCATGTACAGAATAGGAAAAAAACAACCACTAGAAAGCAAGAAAACAAAGCAGAAAGTGTTAGTCATTGCTAGGTAACATTGCTGGCTGGAAGAGTCACTAAAAATCTTCACTGGAGTCCCTTTGAAATGTGCTTCTCTCCCTCACAGGCAGTCTGCTGCAGCGCTGCGAGACGCTTAAAAAAATAAATATTATACACATCTTTTAAAAACTATTTGTGAAGTGATTCCCAAAAGTTGTTGCCATACGGCAAGCAGTTAGCGCCACAAGTACAGATACATGGAATAAAAAAAAAAAAATACCTGAACCTTGTGGTTACAAATTAACTCAATGGTCCTTAGAAAACATGTTCTGTATAATTTGTTGGAAAAACTTACAGAGAACACGGAAAAAACAACCCACTCTAACATGTGTTTTTTCTTGTTCTTTTTCTTGCTGCTTTCAGTTACAAAGTTCACAGAAACTTCAGTCTCCTGACCTTGTTGGAGAGCGGGGAAGATCTTCCAGGTCAGACTCAGCTGTGTGTGTGAAGCTCCAACTAAAACACTGTAGGTTATTTCCCTCTCTACAGTACATTCCTTGTAGCATTCCCACATGTTAGCAGTTTGGGGCTGTGTGTCTAGTGTTTCAAGCAAGCATCCTGTCCTGCAAGCGATGAGACAAGGATGTGAACCCAGGCTGGAACAGACTAAATTCAGCCTCCCCTAAATTTCAGTAACAACTAAAACAGATACAACAAAATGGGAATGATCCAAAATGCAAAAAAGAAAGAAAATCTGTGTTGGTCTCAAGACATGCAGTTACAGTGCATGAGTACAGTTTGTTCTCCTGAGCAGCAGCTTCAACGCTGCGTCGGCTCCTGAAAGAACAGGTACATGGATGTACTGGCAGGGTCAAACCAAAACATTTCTCCTTAAGCTCGCTACATTCAAATGGCTTAAATATGCCAAACAGTTTGTCCTCTTCACGTTTACTGTTAGAAGCTGCTGTCGTGGTTAAAATACCAGCAGGCTGCAGCTCAGCCACGGCCATTACATTCACTGGAGTGCACACGAGAGCATGAGACGGCGTCTTAACGGAATCAAACAACTGGAAACCCATAAAAAAGTCCTCCAGGTTGGAATCTCAGTTAATGGAATATAAAGACAAACATTTCCTGAACATGTTACCAAACTAGTACGTATAATGTTGTTACTATACCTACAAAGGTGAACAGAAGTTGTTCCTTTGAGAACTGAGCTTATCTCTTCACCTAACTGTCTAATAAATTAAGATGGACCAATTCTGGCCAAAGGTACACCTTCAGGTTAAGGAATACAGTTCATCATTCAGAGGATTCCTCCGTCAGGCTCCTTGCTTCGGTCACATCTGCTTCCAGAGATGGATGAGGCTGTGGAGACAATTGCAGTGGTCAGCTCTCCTTCTAGTTATCATGTTAATTAAAAGTATAGTGGAGGATGTTCTTTTTCCGGGTGGATCTTCAAAATAAGTGGTCCTCCTAATTGTCAATCATTCTGGTAAGGAGGTCCTTACGTGCTCATCCCCATTTTCACTTACGAGCAATAAGTCTGACATAGTGGGAAAATCGCAAATCTTCTTTTGGAAAGTAACCTTGTATGAGCGATGCAAACAGCAACTTTTAAACAGAGTGGATGAGGAGAAATGGGCTCCTGCATCCTCTCGCACGCTTTTAATAGGCGTTCCCTCTCAGGAGCAGGTACAGGGTTGTACATGTGCTTTTTTTTTAAGTGGAGAGGGCGGGTCTTTTCAACAAATCGCAAAAATCCTCCATTATACCTTTAATGAAGCCTCATTTAGGATGGAGGGTGGTGTTGCAAACTGCTGAGGATGAAGAAGGATGCATGGTGGAACAGTTTGCATGGTTCCTTTGCAGGATGAAGCTCCTGCGATTCTGTACAAAACCTCATAGGAGACAAACTGCCATTTTCTAATGACCCTCTGGGGGTCTGCTGTCCTTAACAGAGCTTTAAAGCTCCAAACACTTAAGTTTAGTATATTTTGTTAATTCTTTTGAATACAGAAAGGCATTTTATCTTCTGAGGCGGGGAACAATTAAATTACAAAATTTTCTAGAAAATATGGTGCTCATTACGGTTTACTGACATAACTAGAGCTACTTTTATTTATTTCACAATAATTACAACAAAATATATATATATTTTTTAATTATTGAAAGAAACATCACTTCTGCCGAAAGACCATATTATATTTACCAGTCTACATAACATTGCAAATTAAACAGCTTTTAGTTCATAATTATCCAACATTTTAAGTTATTTATTCATCAAATGTACTATTTGTATTATATCAACCTGAAAGAAGTAACATTTTGCAATTAATATTTTGAAGCAAAAATGATTTTCCGACTTTTTCTGCAGTTAGATATTGATGACAATCTCATGGAATCTCCAAACTTGTTCCATTATTTTGCTCAATGAAGTTCAAACTTAAGATTTCTTTCACGTTTCACACATGAAAAAAAAAATTGCTCATCAGTAGATGTTTCAGACCTTCAGCTATATCCTAAAATCAGACCTGGACCTTTGAACATTATGCTGAAGGTCAGAATCAGCTACAAACTAAAGATCTTTATACCAAACTCCAAACAATCAAAAGTCTGTTCTCATACAGTCACATAAAACAACTAGAAATAAGACGAAGTGAAGAAATACTTACTAAGCTGTTTAAGCTTGATAAAGGGGCCCTGCTGTCTCTTCAATGGGTTCTGTGGAAAAAATAATGTGACATCATGAGCACATGTAGTCCCAATATCATTACTAATTACTCAGACCAGACGATAGAAGTTAATTAAATAATGGTGGGTTTACCTCGTAAAGGCCGTTTGTGTGACTTGCGCCGATGCATCATGACCCCGATGATCAGAGCAGCACCAATCAGCACAAAGCCGAGGACGGAGAAGCTGGTGATGGCTGCCAGTTTCCACACGTCATGCCTTTCCTCCACTAATTTACCTGTTGGATAAAATATTAGGGGAGAGTTTCTGTTCAGCACCAGGAGAGAGGATTACAAAAAGAACACCAATTAATTTGATAAGTTTCTAATTTCTCTGATCTGGTTCTACAGAATCTTCAATAGGTCTTAAACCAGTTTAGATATTTAAAATGATCTGCTTAAAGTAGCATTAGATGATCTTTTATAAACAAAAGGCCAATATTGATACGATAATTGTGAGTCAGACTGAACTATTAAAAAAAAAAAAACAGTATTTTTTTTCTAGAAAACCATCTCTTCACCCTTGTTCCTCCCATTCAGCCTAAACAGTTACACGGAAAGCAGCCAAACCACAACAGCTCAGTCACAGGCGCAGCAGCTCACATGTGTTGCAGGATGGGGTCTTTGGGTACTTCTTGCAGGATTCACACGGCACGCAAACACCCAAGTCAGAGCTGTAGAACTCCGAGCTGCCACACTGACCTGCAGATACAGAAAACAACCGTTCATTTTTCATATGGTGACAAGTGAGGTAGAGTGGTGGTGAAAACTAAAGCTATAAATAATGAAACATACAACAAACATACACAGTTTTTAAGGCTCGGTTTAAGGTAAAATCCAGTCATTAACTAGGAAATGTGTATCATGTTGTGGCACATCTGTGCGATCCCCAGAAAGCTCAAGTCCTTTCTGTGAAATGATATGAATTTCACAAGAAGCAACCAGAGGTTTTGATCACCACATTAGGTTTGGTCTTCCTCTAAAACGAAGGTTGGAAACTCCTCTGAGCGAGACTGATGATGAACCAGACCCCTGTGCGTGTGAAAAGAGCACAGCGTGTTTTGACTAACCTCTTCCTTAGAATTGTGTTTCTGCTTGTGCACATCCCTTTCATTTGATTTTACAAAAACTCAAGAGTCTGCTTAAGGGTTTGAAGAGTGCATCTGATGAGAAATCACCTAAAAGGTGATTTTTCCTTCCAGAAAACTCTCTGGAAATAAATCACACTAAACTTCTAATGTGTCAAGTTACTTCGAATTAACAACTACCTCTGGTTTGCTGCAGCATAATACACTGCAAAAAAATGAACTCTAAATTAGTCATTTTTTTCTTAAAGTACCGTATGTGCATTTGTTCTTGAATTGAGGAGATAAGTGAGAAACTCTGTCAATGGATCAAGACAATTTACCTTTAAAATAAGAGAAAACAATTGCATTGTCTCGTTTTAAGTGCATATTATCTAATTATCAAACTTTAAGAGTAAAAATACTCATTCTATTGGCAGATCATCTTATCTACCTACTCAGATTAAGGTAAAATACACTTAATTTAAGAAATGTTGACTTATCTTTAGATTGTTTTTGCAGTGTGCAAAGGGATCTCCATTTTATTTGACACAGCTGGATATCGGTTGCTCGGTAACAAGTTGATGGATGGATCTGATGGTGCAGGTGATAGTAAAAGTGTTGTGAATCATTTTAATGGTAAGACGGGGGTTTAATTAGTTGATATGTGTGATGGGAGCAAATGAAGTTGCTGCAGAATAAGTGGGATGTAATGGACTGATACGGGCGGCTGAGGTTAGGACCAGATGTAACATGGGTTTTATGTGAAGGGCCAAAAAGAAGAGAATTACAATAATATAAAACAGGAAGTGAACAAAAATCAGCAGTGAAGCACAGAGTAAGAGGACAGACATGATGGATGGAAGAAGGCAGGCAGAATTATGTTATTGATGAATGGTTAAGAGAATAGGTTTCTGTCAAGAATGGCATCCAGACTGTAGAGTTTGAGACTAATAAAAGAATCTCTGATTTATCAGAATTGATTTTAAGGAAGTTTGAGATTAACCAGGATCTCTAAAGTAAGAAGGTGTGAGTGGGATTTTTGGTTGGTTGAGATGGGGACAACAGGGGCACCAGACAGAGCCGTGGATTAAACCGGATGGAGTGGGAAGGGAATTATCTAACTTAATAAACTGAGTGCAACCTAAAAGATGCATATGAAGCCAAGTAGGAGGTGCATGATGCCAAGAGAGAAAAGTCTGTTCAGAAAGTTGGTGTGTCACATTTCAGCACAGGCCACAGTTAGATCAAGGAGCATGGAAAGTGAACCAGAGTCAGCAGTAAGGAAGAGGTCTTTAGTGACTTTAAGAGGTGCTGTTTCCGTGCTATGAAGGGTCAGAAACCTGACTGGATTAGTTCATATAGATTATTGCAGGATTGAAAGGTATAGAGTTAAGCAGCTACTTTTTTTTCAAGAATTTTGAAAGTAAATAGAAGGTTTGAAAATTGCATTTTGTTTTTATTTAGATGTGAACTGGGTTTTTTGAGTGTTGGGAATACAGACGCTGTTTTGAAATGTGTAAGGAGCAAAAACAGTGGTAAGGGAAGGGTGTATAAAGTCTGTGATGAGAGTTAAGAGAGGAGGATGAGGGCTTAAATAAATACTGTGGGAGGAGGCGAGTTAAAGATTTGGAACATGTTTTCCAGCGAGCGTCACTAAGATGAAAGGTGTGTTAGGAAGGTGGTCTACAGACCCGCCCCAGTTCTACCAGCTCTGTCAAGAAGGATGGGTCAGAATGCAAGAAAATTACTCAGAGAAGTATATTTAGGAAAACCCAAAACATCTGATACAAACATCCAGTTTTAATAAATAAGAATGACGCCTGTTATCATTTTGCCATTTTTCAAACACAAATAAAGTTGTCAGTCCTAAATGTTCTCCAACAGAAAAAGTTTAGTTTAATGTCTGATGGTGAGAAATAAACGGGTAACCTTTTTACTCATAGTAGTAAATTTGTGGTTTGAACAGACAGTTGAGCAACAAACCTGCTCAAACTGTTGTGTGAGAAAGTCTCCTGGCTTTGGTGAAGGGGCACATTAGCAGTGATCCATGCATAAAATATTATTTGCACCTCTGCATAATGAGCATTGTCACAGTGAATGGGTCAGAGTCCCGGTTAGCAGGAAACAGGTGAGCAGCATTTACAGGATGACAAGATTAAAACTCTTCCTCATCGCTGTCGCAGATGTGTTTGCATAGACTGTTCCTTGTCTGCAGTGAGTCACTTCTTGTGGTAAAATTCATGTTAAAACCGAGAGTGCTGCTTACCAGACAGTAAAACAAAAGCGTATAGAGAAGCAAGACTGATGTCACCTCAGGTAGCTAAATGAGATGTTATGGGAAAGCAGCTGCATCAAAGACAACAAATCATCAGAACAAATTGTGGCTTCAGATTAAAAAGGAACTCATCAGCGTCAGAGCAGCAGTCAAGAAAGGAAACCTGAAGTTACTCTGAAGTAGATGTTTTTTTTAGAGAATCCTTCATGAAATCTGTCAGCTTGGTACCGTTCCAGTCAGAAGAAAAAATTATCTAGGCATAAAGTTTAAAAAATGTTGGGCATGTAAATAATTTTATAGTGGAAGTAGGGCTGCAACTAACGATTATTTTGAAAATCGATGAATCGGCCGATTATTTTTTCGATTAATCGATGAATCGGACACAAAATATTTTTTTTATATTAACCTCTTTATTCCAAAATAAACATTTTAGACAGAACAAACAAGCACACAAGTACAGGTTTCTCATTAACTGTACTGGTGCAATATGAAAAATAAATGTTTGTTTTAAAACTACGCAAACTTACATGAGAAATGTAGCTGTACATCCACAAAATATAGGGTACTTTGTTTCATAAAGCGCAAAAAAAGACATTTTTGTTTTAAAAGCCCCTAAGGGGTTCAAACAATAGGCCCCCCCATTTCAACAAATGAGGTTTTTTTAGACTAGAAGAGTTCTGCCTTTTAAGACAGGAAAGTATAGCAGTTAAAGTTGCTACTAGAGAAAATACTGAACCATAGAGATAAAAATAGCCCTGTGATTCAAATTATAAATTGTATTTGGAATAAAAATGAGAGAACTAGGGGTGCTAAAAAACACATCCTCCAAAGACAGATATTTACATTTAATTAATTGACATATTACTGATCTTGCTGGATTTTATTCTGCTTTACTTCCATAAATTGCAGGATCTTCTTTACTGTATCTTTGCCAGAAGATTTAAACTTTAAAAGCCTTGCCCTCATAATTTGCAATTTAATTTATTTATAAAGAAAATATAAACGCTGCTTAAGCTAATTCAAATGAAATTAAAAGTAAAATAAGTAGCCAACCTTATCACTGTCTGTAACCTACTAACACGGTAAGGAAAGCATCAGATGAGCTACCTGAGAAACTAACGTTACGTTTCCCCACTTTAAAACCAAACAAACATGGTTACTCATGCTGCTGATCAGCTCTCTTCACTGCCATCGAAGGCTCCAACCTGTTTTCTTTTCAGGTGCTGCGTCATAACAGTGGTGCTTCCGTGCCATGTTCATTTGTTTTTACAAAAGTCGCATGTTACGAATTTTTTCACTTTACAAAGCGCAGGCTATTTTAATTATTGTGATCAATTTGCGCCGTCAATCCCGGGGCATGCGCGCTTCATTTGCAGTCTGGACGCTGAGGGTAAACTCCTCACTAAAATCCTGCGGCTCGGACTGCACGCTGAGAGGGATTCCTGTGGGAGAGGGAGAAAGGCGTTGGGATGGGGGATGCGCCCCACGGCAGCAGCTGCCGCTGGAGGACAAGAGTAGGAACGATACATGCTTTCACGTAAGAGTCTCCAAAAGCCGCCAGTGACACCGTAAAAAGTCGCCAGATTTGTCGCTAGTCGCTTTTTTTTTTAAATAGTCGCTGGAGGGGTCTGAAAAGTCGCTGAGTTGGCAACACTGCAACTGCGGCGCTGACTCGCTCCGCCATATTTCTTTTGCTTCCCCGGGATGACGGCGGCGGCGGATGACGCATTAATCGCGCGACACAACTAATCGATGATTAAATTCGTTGCCAACGCTTTTAAAAGTCGATTTTTATCGATTTTATCGATTCGTTGTTGCAGCCCTAAGTGGAAGTAATTAATCCACACAGCGTCAAATATATACAAACATATGCTATATATAAAAGCATTTCCTGTCAGTTTTTACACATCGGTGTAGACAGACAGACAGACAGACAGACAGACAGACAGACAGACAGACAGACAGATAGATAGATAGATGTAAGATGTTTCATTCTTGAGTTATTGCATACTTCTCTGATCATCTGATCTTAAGAATGGCTCCTGCATCTTCAAACAACAATTTTATTTTATGTAGAATCCTCCGTACAGTTAGATTAAAAACCAGAAGCTGAAAGATGGTTGGAAGTTTGAAAGCTGCTATTTCACTTCATTCAAACATTAAACAAATATATTATCTAGACATTTCTGTACATTAAGATCAAACTCGCTTCAGATATAATTTGCCAAATATAAATAAAATGCAGTGGTTACTCTTCCTGTGTGAGTTTATTTTATTGGAATAAAACCTGCCCTTTCTAAAACACTTCCCCATCTTCTGGTGACATCCCAAAAGTCATTAACTGAGAAAAAAAAATTTCTGACCACAACTGTTTGCATTTTTTATTAATGCTTATGGGATTTATAATTTTGAGGTAATTATATTCTATGCAGCTGAAATGGGAATCAATAATTGTCAATGTTCAGCCGTCTATCCTTCGTCTTTACTGTCTGTTGTGATGTTAACCACTAGGGACCAAATGCAGAGGATACAAATAGCAAGTCTTTTCAATCCTGCAGTTGAAATCCACACCTCGTGTACGCTTTTATAATCTTTACAAAGTTTTTGCTGAATGAGAAATGTGAAAATTTTATTCAAACACTAGTAGGTTTTTGCAGATTAGGTCGTCCCCTAAAGTGGATTCTCACAAGGTTAAGAAGTAAAGAAAAAGAGCTGTTTATGTTTGCTCTCTTTTTTTTTAAAGAAAAAATAAACATGCTGAGAGGGGACGTTTACTGTTAATCAAAAAGCAAGGGTTCGGCTTTTGAAAGCGAAGGTTGAAAATGTATTGAGGTCCTGAAAGGGTTTCTAAATAATCTACTTCTTGAAATTTCCACATCCTAATGGAAATCGGTGCCAAATCCATCACACCGAGGCGAGCACATTTCAGGAGGTGTTTACATCTACTTGATTAGTCTCATCAGTCACATCATAAAGAAGGGAGAACATTAAACCAGAACCACATGAGTAGGGACTGTGTTATCCCATCAGTGTGGCTCATTGCTGAAACCAGCTGCGAATCCAAAGCCACCTGCTCAGAAAGTCATGCCTGTGGCATTTGGACCTCTGGCTCTGTGCTTACATTACAGCCACAGGCTCGGACCCCCGGACACTCTCTGTTCTCAATAGACACAGAGCAGAGACTGGAATGAGTCATTTTTTCAGAAACAGTCACAGTGAAAATGTGTCACGGCTTCATATAAACATTTCTCCCAGTGATTTGAGAACCACGTCATCGAAACGAACCGCAGCAGCGCCGGGGTTCAAAAGGTAACGGGGAGGAAGTGCTGCTTGACCTTTGTTCAAACCAGAGAGAGACATCCTCTGTGAACCGTATCAAACAAAAACGCAAACCTGATAAGGTCAACCAAGCTCCACAGTCAAAGATATGTTGTTTAAAGACAAATTTATCAGAAGTTTACCTCACCTCATCAACCTGAAGTAAATCTGGATACATTAGCCAGTTACTGTATGTGCAATATGTAGCTCCATTCATTTCCCATCTGCCTTCTTACATGAGCTGATCAGATTTTTTTCTAAACAATCAGTCAAGCAGATTGTAACTTAAGTATTTTATGCATAGCTTGAAAAATGGCTGTTCTGTTGAACATAAATATGATAAACAAAAGTCCATATAGGGGATGGAAAGATTCAGTTATTCATCCAACATTGCTATCTTTATACATTAATAGAAAAGCAGTCCTCTAACTGTTCCACACCTGCTGCTGTTGAGGATGTTCTACACATCCAGCATGTTTTTGACAAGTTACAGGAACAGCTCAGTCATTTCAAATAAAGTTAATACAAAAATTAAGCAGAACTTTTTTTTTACTGCAAATGGACGGTTAGACAAATTATCTCAAACGCAGAACCAAAAATAAAACCACAAATTATTTCTTTACCTTTTTTTGAAATCTTAAATGAAGCGGTTTCATTTGTTTTTGGATATAAATTGTGTAAAAATGTAACAGCTTTGAAACAAAAAGTGGATAGTATTGCTTGTTTAGATTAATTTTTATTTATGTTTGGTTTCTTTTTTTTAATAGCTAAATATAACCTTAAAATTCTAGGGAACCAAGTTTACAAGTGTTGCCACTCTCAATATGGTGGACAATCTCTCAAGGGGTTAACTATCTATCCCCCCTCTAGACAGATTAATGTGCTTTTCAAATATTTAACAGTTTGTTTATTTTTTTTTTTATAAAATAAAATATATATATTTATATATTTTCTGGCTTTTGGATTAAATGATAATAAGTGTTCAGTGGTGTGGTGACCAATTAGAATAAGTCTCAGCTTTTTTTTTTTTTTTTTTCCAGAATGCATTTGATTTGATGAAAACTCCTGCATCTAGAGTCAAACTATGTCCAAGTATTTTTTTTAATGTAATTATCTTTTCTGTTATATGATATGTGTATTTGAATTGTTCTGGCAATTCAAGATGCCAAGAACCAAACCTTGTGGGACACCCTTATGAGTTTGATCTTGGCCAAGCCTCCTTTGCAAAACAGATTTGTGATTTCCATGGGAAAACTCTGCTTGAATAAATGGAAAAAGACTGAAATCTTAGTCAGATAAAGGGGTGTGGGGGTGTTTAATATTTAGGCATGGGCTTGGAGGTGGTTGTAGAAACAGCTGATGTCCAGATGTACCAAAGTTTTCCCACTACTACAAACTGCAAAAACAAGTTTGATTTAAATATTTGGCTTTAGAAGCAACTCTAGAGTGTTTGGGTTTCTAAGATTTTATGGTCTCTGTAATGTGAGAATGGCGTTTTCCTCTGGGATATAGTCCAAACTTCAAAGGAGCCACTGGAAGAGGCTGAGGCTCTTTCTTCTGTGTCCAAGATACACCCAGAATGTATCTTTGTGCAAAATGGACACAGGCAGAGCTCCCTAACCTATCCATGTGTCCTGTCCTTCTCAGCCAGAGGGCACTGCATGGATGGGGTGAAATAAGGCGATAGGAATGCGGAACCGGTGAGAAATGCAGCTGGTAAAGGAAGCGGCTCTAAGCAGACCCGCTATCTGGCTCCAGACTGATCCTGGTTCCCAGAAACAAAGCAGCGATTGTTACGGTCAGCATCAGAAACACACAAAGTTGGAGACAGTGATTGGAATGGAGTGGTTTTTTTTTAAGTTAAAAACAAAAAAACAACAAAACAGAAGAAAAAAAAGTTTTTACTCACTGTTCTCCGCAATCACGCCGTGTAGACCGGCCAGAGCCGCTAAAATAAATCCGCAGATAAATGCGCAAAGAGTGGCTGAAGCCATCGTGTCTGCGGGAGGAGAGCTTCTCGCTGTCGGCCACGCAATTCCCAAAAGTTCATCTGATTAACAATCCGCGCTGGTTTTTAGCCTGGAAAAGCGAGCATCAGAGTGAGTCATGCGGAGGAGTCTGCGCCTTGTTTTAATAGTGCGCACACACCCACGCTGAACAGTTCAACTCCTATGAGTCATTTCCTATGTTACCGCGGCGCTGCGCGGAGTCTCTGTGCGCCCACAGGAAACCCTGCTGCGCTGCGCGCTCATCTCTCACTCTAAAAGTGAAAGTTTCAATCAAATCACTCCAGGTATGACAGATTCCATACATAAACTTATACATTTTTACATTTCAGTGGACACGCCCTGCTTGTTTTCCCACTCTGAACACTGTAGTCTGCGTTTACAGCGTTTTCATTGTTATTACCACGCCTGCAGACGTCATTCTCTGCCTTCTGCCAACAAACACAGCTCTCTGGCAGGGGTCTGGGGTCCCTTACGCAGAGCAAAAAGAAAAAAAGAAAAGAAAAGAAGAGGAACCCAGGCAAAAACAGATGACATCAATTAAGAAGTTAAATCCACCCGCCTTAAGGCATTTTAGAAGGTTTATTAAGAGGTGAAATTTTGGATTTGGTTCCAAATAGCCTTACACATCTTTCTGTTAGACACTGGCTGATGAAGAGTGAGCGTCACTGACGCAGGGTGGTGTTATTAATGTCTTGTGCTGGGTGTGGCCTGCTGCTGCTGCACAAATATGCAATAACAAAGCCAGTGGACACACTATCAGCCACTCACACTATTGTTTTATGTGTAAACTCACCCCAACATCTGCTTTTGTTCATCATAAAGTGAAATCTACTATTCTATTTAGTCCAGCAACTTGGAAAGTATTCACACCGCAGTTTAAAAGATTAATTTTGGTTTATTTTATTGCTTTTGATTTGATTTATAAACGCATTCATAAATTTTTTATATAAGTCATCTATAATCTTTAGGTATGTCCAGGCCAGCTGGTTGTCCTTCCTTTTCAACCCTTCAGTTTGGAGAAGCGGTGGCTCTGCTTAGAGGCCCCACTGGAGCAGGGGTCACCAATTAAAAATCAGTGGGGTCCAAATAAAGAAAATCATCAACCAGTAAAGGTCTGGAGACATTTTTAAATATAATCTGTTACTTTAAACAGAATTTAACACTAAAATAAAGTGAGGTGTTTATGCATCCATGTTAATCTCAATGGGACTTTTCTTGGTTAAATAAAGGAATAAATGAAAAACAAAAATGTTATACATTGAATTTTTCAATAAAAAAATTTAAAATTTTTCCATTTTAAATATAAAGTGTTTTTTTTTTTTTTTTTGAAGTAGAGAACAACAATCTTTCAGCATGGACAATTTCCTGATTCACATATTTTATAAAAAACATGGACTGTTATTTTTTTTTTCTCCTTTCTTTTTTCTGTCTTAATGAGAGCAGTGGGCTTTAGGCTGCCCTGCAACACTTTAAACCTGGGTTCGAATGGCAACAAAAAGATTCTCCAGCACATATCAAGGTGTTGATTATGAGCCTGGATGGATATTTATTTTTGATTCTGTTTATGATGGAGAATCCTGCTTCACAGAAGCAGGTTGAGCCAAACATCCTCTAAATGTGCAGGGTCATCTTTGAGCACCATTTCACTTTTCTGTCACCAGTTCACCGCAGTTCTTCCAGCAGTCCACACTTTCTCTCCTCTCTTTTTTTCTCATCATCTTCTCCTTCTGTCCCATTGCCCGGCTTGCCACAGGTTTGCCTGCTGTGTCTAAAAGTAACAGCAGCAGCAACCCAGACTGACTCATTTGCTATTTGGCATCACGTGTAGCCTGGTGCCGGACGCTCCGGAGGGCTTTACCATATTAACAGAAGCGGTGCAAGTGAATTTAGACAATGTCGTCGGACAACATGCAGTAATTTATGTTTTAAATCAGGTTGTGTCTGGATCCGGACCGCAGTCCGCTAATCCGTGACCCCTGCACTAGAGAATGAAGCTCCTCAACCTGTAAGACTGAGTTCAGCCTTCAAACAAAACACAATATGTCTAAAGTTTAAGAAATTTCTAAAAAAGTATGAAAAATGGGACACGCCTGTTGATTCAGCTCCCTGATCTGATACCCTCAAATGAAATGTACTACAGCTGTCAATGTCACCCTTGTTAATAAACTATTCCCTTATTAAGCGACATTAGAGTAAAAAATAACAGGGTTTTTTTTCCAGGAAGGCCAACCAACAAAATGTAGAGCATAAATGTGGAGAGGACATGTAACGGTTTTCTTAAAATGTTTTTATAAAAACAAAAAATGCTGACATGCAACTGGATTCTGTCCCTGCTTCTCTGACACCCTTCAATAAAACAACCAGTCATCTCAGGATAAATATGGCTGTTAAGTGACGGCCAAATCTTGCCTTCTTTTGGTTGATATGTTGACCACTATATGCCTGAAAACATACCGCTGTGTTACATGGTGGAGGCAGCATCATGCTGTGGGGATGTGTCTCTTCGTCAGGGACGTTAAATTCAAGTCAATTCTGGAATAAAAAGTTAAAGGTTGCAGAAGACCTGAGAGTTGTGAAAAGGTTTAGCTTCCACGAGGACGTCTCTAAATAACCAGCCTGAGATACGATGGATGGGTTTTTATAATGAGTTAGCTCTAAATCATTCCAGATAACTTAGAATCTGTGGTAAGAATGTATGCCCATATAATCTTTCTATTCATCCAACTGAGTTAAAACTATTTTGCAAAGATCAGAGGGTAAAAATGTCAGCCTGTAGATGTGAGGAATTGGTGAAGACCAACATGCAGCCGTTACTGCGGAAAATGTTGTTCTACCAAGAATGAGTCGGAAAGCTTAACACATGCAGAGCTCACATTTAAAATATTTTAGTTTTTTTAATGCATGTCCTTAGTTCAAAGCTGTGCTTCACTTTTCTAGTTGGTCACATTAAAGTCCTTATTAACCAAAGTGAAGTTTGACTTGATGTGAAAAAACACTCCAGAGGGTTGAAGACTTTTTCGCTAAGCAGTGCATAGCTAGAAAAATGCATGAACTGCCCTGCTGGGTTTTATATTTTTACTACATGAGAGCCAGTTCTTCAGGAAATCTCAGCTAACTATTCCCAAATGCCTGATAAACGTATTCTTTCCCCACATTCGCTCATCTCCTCTACAGCCTGGAACCTCTTATGTGTTACATGGTGCGAACTGCCTTTCCCACAAGAACTAACGTCAAACAGACGCTAACCAAACTCTCAGTAAATAGCTCACATCATCGGGGAGGGGAGGAAGGTTTCATTTGCGCAATTAAGCTACAGGCAGATGTTATTTTACTTCGTTGTCACGGCTAACCTTTAGGAAAGCTCTCTAGGACCTGGAGCCCACTAAGGACACCCATATGAGCTGACTTTCCACTGAAGTGATTTCATCAGTAATGAGGCACTATAAGCTGCAGATGTTGTGTCAAACTCTAGCAGGAACCATGGTAACGCGTTGAACACACACAGAGGAGCTTGCCCAAGGTGATCCAAACACTCCTGTATGTGCTGACTGTGTGCCAAACTGGCTGATGTCTTGCAGGCATTGTTAATGCTATAGCCCAAGTAAAGACGTGGGACAAACCTGCCTGTTGTACTTTATACATTGGAAACATATTTAGCTTCAAGCATGCAATCCTCCACTCTGTGAGGGATGGCTTTCTTTTAATTAAGAAGTTTAGGTTTCAGCTTCAGAGATGAAAAAGCAGCATTACAAACGAAAAACACTTTATGACGATCACACACACACATCAACAAGCTCAGTTTTTCCCCAACATATTACAAAGCATTAAAAGTTGGCCCATGTCTTTTTGTTAAAAGAGAAAATGAATAACAACTAATTCAGCTAAAGACAAAAACAACTCAGAGCAGCCCCGACATGGAAGAACATAACTTTGTTCAAAAATGTGTTTATTAAACTACCTCACATCACTGTCAGTCAGATATATCACTATGTTTGGTCACCAAATGGCAAAACTGTGGGAAAAAACAACTCTTTCCAGAGAGATTTTAAAAAGTTCTTCTCTCTGAGTAAACCTGCAGTTCTATCCTCTCGTTTCTTCTCTCCTTTGGTTCTGTCTGTTTCTACAATGATCTGTTCTCTTTTCCGTCTGACTCAGGTGATGTAGATGCGGTGGAAGTCGTTTGCTCCGAAGGCACAGTTACACTTGGGGCACTTCCTCTGTCGGGTGTCGTAGCGCATCTTCAGGCACTCGTAGCAGAAGACATGGAAACACTTGGTGAGGACGGTCTCCTTGTCCCTTGTGTTGCAGCAGGGGCAACGCAGCTTGGCCTGAGGGCGGATAAATTCATGTGTTTAATGCAGGGATAATAATAGTTCTGTTGGTTTTTACACTCACTTTGAGGTTTAGAAAATAAAAGAGTCTAGGAAGGAACTAGAAGATGGCAAACAGAATAAAATACATGATGGTTTAAACATTTTCTTACAATTAAAAATCTGAAAAGTGTGGCATGCTCTTGTATTGCTCCTTTCACTTCAGTAAACCTAACCTCTAACCTAAAATTGACCAAACTAGTCTGATTAAATGCATCCAGCTGTGTGTAGCTTAGCTTAAGCATAAACTAAGCTTTTCCTTTTTTGCTCAAAGCTGAAGCGAAGATGGATGGACAATACAAATCTGTGACAAGCATGTCTTGACGCCCGGCTCGGAGTGGACTGGCACAGCTGCAGCTTCTGCTGCAGAAATGCTAACAAGAGCAAAAAACTTCACAATGGTTCACACTCTTTACTGGAAACCTAGGGCAAAACCATCAGTGGGCATAACTATCCGTATTCATCCTCCGATAGCCTATTGGTTTCCCCAAGTTACTTTGTTTTTTACTTTCACTAGTGTAGGTTGGTGAGTTGATTTTATTCTGAAATGCGACTACACTTTGTTCCTTTCTTGTGAAATGTAGGGGACCACAACCGGACTGGCCAAACTTGCCTCCTATAGAATCATGTTGACCCAGACAGCCTTGGTAACTCTACCCACAATGCACCATGGCGGATGTGTGTGTGGAGAATAATTTTGAAAGCCCGGTGTGACTCAGAGGGAGAGAATACAAAAACTTGCCACACATTTCAGTTTTCCCTGACTTTCGGGGAAAAAAAAAAGTGATATAAAAAGTGATAGATATATATATATCAGGGATGGAACAGTTTATAAAAACATCCGAACCGTTTGGTTTGACTGTCTCGGTTCGGTTCGCGTGTATTGCGCTCGGTTCATGCGCTGCTCCTTTTTCTCATAGGCGAAGCGTGTACACTCCAGAGCAGAAGGTGGCGGTA